ACACTGATGCCCACACAGGTTTCTCTCCTTCCTCACTACTGGGATTTGGGCTGGGTGATCCCTTGCAGTGGGACTGGCTAGCCTGAGCATTGTTAGCGGTTAGCAACAGACTAGGGGTGTGATTGGAACGTCAGGAGTACACATCATAGGGGTGGGCAAACATAACTGTAGACATCGCCAAATGTCCCCTGGTAGGCAAAGTGGCACAGTTGATATCCATCACTATGGTGATGGTGGCAGGTGATACAAAGGGGAATCCAGGATGCTTCTGGAAACAAGAAGTGATACCCAGGATATCTTGGAGGGGGCGGGGCTTGTCTCTTATGGAAGCACGCGTGGCAATAGCCATGTAGAACAAGAACAAAAAGGGACAGTGTGTGTGTGCACACGTGTGTGTGTGCATGTGTGTATGTGTATGTGTGTGTCTGTATGTGCCTGTGTGCACATGTGTGTGTGCACATGTGCAATGTATGTGTCCATGTAGGTAAGTGTGTATATGTGTGCATGTCATGCTTGTGTTCATGGTCAAGGGCGCAGGTCCATGTGGAGGCCAGGTGACAATATTGGGTATCTTCCTCTGTGGCTTCCTATCTTAGAAATGTTCTATTAGCTTAGGGTGGGTGCATGCATGTATATGTGTGAGTACAGACATTCATGGACATGTATGTGGAGGACAGTATCTGGCCTTGAGGCAGCTGGTGGGTGTCACACTCCGTGTTGTTCACTTCCCACAGATGTGTGAGGCTTACATGGCTAGCACCTTTGGGTGGGATGGGATTTTTCACTGACCCTGGAGCTCATTACTTTGGCTACACTGCCTCCAGTGCTGGGGTTACAGATGCACACGTAGGTCCTGGAGATCTGAACTGGGGTCTTAAGGCTCCTGTGACAGGCTCTGTCCTGACTGAGCCACCCGCCCAACCCCAATCTACTCTTTTACAATCATCATCATTGTCATCGTCGTCATCTAATTTCAGTGGTGTGTTTTGGATGGAGCTTGTTTCCCTGTGGTCCACATCGGAAGCTTGGTCCCCAGAAGAGAAGTCCTGGAAAGCTTTATGGGACCACTAAGACGCTGAACTTGCTAATGGCCCTGAGGTCAGTGGGGTATTGGCCCCAGTGGGATGGACTAAGGTAGTTTTAGAAGTCATGAAAGCCTGCGAGTCTCACTTCCTGCCTTACCATCTAGGTTCCGGTAGCTTCAGACTTGCTGGGCAAGTGCTTGGCTGACTCTTGGGAGAAGTCTTTCTGATCCCCAAACAGTGTTTTCGTTTGTTTGGTTTCTTTTGTTTTGGGGGCGCAGGGTGTCTCTGTGTAGCCCTGGCTGTCCTGGAACTCGCTCTGCAGACTAGGCAGGCCTTGAACTCACAGAGATCCACCTGCCTCTGCCTCCCGAGTGCTGGGATTAAAGGCGTGCGCCACCACACCTGGCTTAAACAATGGCGTTTAGTAGGCATTCTGTTGTTTTGAATTTGAGAATCGCTTCAAAGATTTACAAGAGCTGTTATTTTACACTCTCCTCATTTTGGTTTTATTTTTACTTCAGATTTTTTTTTTTAAATGCTGATTTTTCATACTTTAGGACGCAGGGTGTAAGTAGCATGCTTCTTTGGCCAGGGCAGGAACCCAGGCAGGAACTCCCGGGAGAGCGCCACCTACTGGAGTCCTCTCTGTGGGTTGATTGCTCAGCCTGCTTCCCTATAGGACTCAGCACCACCCGGGTGTTGGCACCACCCACGCTGGGCTGGGCCCTCCCACGCCAATCATTAATCAAGACAGAGAAGGCGGTCTCTCCACTGAGGACCCCTCTTCACAGATGACCCGTGGCTGTGTCGGCTGACCCATATTTAACCAGCACAGTCCCTAAGACGAAAGCCTGGTTGGATTTTTCCTGGCTTTTCCTAGTCAAGGATTAAGTGATATTATGGTTTGGATTTCAAATATCTCCCGCAGGGTCCTATGTTTAAACACTATTTCCTAGCTCTTGGCACTGTTCTGAGAGACCGTGGAAATGTTTGGGTATTTTACCTACTTGGCAAATGTCAAGGGACACGACTCCTCTAAACTTACAGGGACAATGCCTCCGTTCTGACTCCAGCCCTCTACTTTCCAGCCCAAATAATCCGGCTGTCATGAACTCCTTCCCTACCACGATGGACTGACTGCACTTAAATTCTCCCAAACCATAAGCTAGAATAAAAATAGAAATAAAAAAGTAAGCAGCCTGACTGAATTTGCCGTGTTACAATTCAGTATGTTTAATAAGATATCCAGATTATGTTAAATATTTTTAACCTCCTCTAGAATCCTTTGTTTTTCAAACAGGAAAGAAAAAAAATGTATTAGCAGGAAGTAAATCCTGAACAGGCCTTAAAATAATGCTTACTTTTTTTTAAGCCTTCACACTTAGTATGTTAACCCTCTGTCTACTACTACAACAAGTAAATGATTGCTTTTGCTTCTTTGAGTTTTTCTTTTTCAATCTTTAATTTTGTTTTGTCTTATAAAAACATGGATGTCACTAGAAATTGCTTTAAATAAAATTTCTCCAGGAGGTGGTGAAGCACACCTTTAATCCCAGCACCTGGGAGACAGAGGCTATGGATCTCTGTGAATTCAAGACCAGCCTGGCCTACAGAGCGAGTTCCAGGACAGCCAGGACTGTTGCCCAGAGAAACCCTGTCTCCAAAAACAAAACAAAAATCTCTCCTCGGTTAACGTGGCAGGGAGGAAAAGCAACCAATAGAAATGGGTTTCATGCTCTCAAAGGTCACTTGCTGAGGGGCTCAGATTCATGGGAGAGGGAGCTCTGGACAGGTTGTCCCGCAGACAGCAAACTTCAGATGATGAAGCCAGGAGCCAGGACCCAGGACAATGAGTACAAATGTGCACGCTAAAGTTTTCTGGACTTTTTTTTTTTATACTTTCCTCTTCTTGGTAATGTTGGTATGGTGTTGCAGGCTTCATGGCTAATGATGTTACTTCTATAGGTGTAAGCATTAACGATGGTCCTCTGCTCTTGCTTTGGGGCACTCGAAAACAAGGAGCCATGTCGGTTCACACTACTGATCTATCCCTACAGGGCTCAGCCTAGAGCCTTCTCGTGGTTCCCTATCTGGGCTGTGGAGTTGGGTTAACTGTTCCTGCATCCTCCCTTTGACTTCTACTATGCGCTTGACCCCGAGCAGTGAGGAGATTCCGCATAAGTAAGCTGACCTTCCTCTCTCCTTGTTTCCTCATCTGCAAAATGGCAAGGGTTTAAACACCTGTTCTGCACAGGTACGTGCAGTGCACACTGATTTCACACAGTTAACGGCAAACGAGCACCGGCTTCCTGGAAATGCTCACAAATGTTGGCGAAATGTATCAGCTAGTCATTATAAGCTAGTCATTGCAAAGGAGAGAGCTGTTTCAAACTGCCCTGGCTCCAGTTGGTCCTGAAGGCTAAGGTGCCCCACGCTCATGTAAAGAAAGAAGAAGAAACATACTACTTGTAAAACAGCAGCTCTGGATTGTTTCATGAAACCCGCATAGATAATTTCAATCCTAATGTTAGGGTAATAACATCTAGCCACACTATTGTTTTTCTCCTTCAACTAATAGCCCATAATCCCATCTCTCATACAAAGGACTTCCAAAGTATATACCTCTGTCAAAGAATCTTGGGGCCGACTCAGTGCACTGGTATTGCAAAGCCAAGAGGAGACAGAAGCAGTATCTCACCGCACTGCTACCCTTCCTGTCCTGAGAAGGTCGCCTCATCTGATACAGGGATGGACTGGCAGAATCCTGCGGAGCTCCTGGGCTGGTGCGCGTCTGGGCGAGGTCAGAGTCCCAGAGCGGCACTGGTCTACAGCAGCTCTTGCTGGCCTGGTAGGGGCCAACGGGAGTCGTCCACCCCTGGGCTAATACTGCGCCACCCCTCCTCGGAACCATGTCTTCACGTTGCTCACCTATCTCCTTCCATTCACAGAAATATGGTGTTTTCTGCATTTTCTGCTCACACAAAGTGTCTGTGCCCACCCAGAACAGGCCCTGGATGGTATAGCGTAGATCAAGCACAGATGTTTGCTCTGCTAATGGGTCTGAGGGCTGGATGATGAGCTCAGGGGATACAGCCTCCTTGGAGACGGCTCCTCGGCTCGCAGAGATCCATCTTCTCCTTGGGACCTCATGCGGCTTTGTCACTGAATGGGTCAGGATTCCAATGATATGAACTTTGGGAGATAAACTTCAGCCTGCAATACCAGCAATGAACCCTGTACACTTAGGATAAAACTAGCTTTGGGGGGCATGGAGGAAGGGTAGGTGTGGGGGGCAGGCTAACACTGTTCCTCCAGAGCAATGGGTTCTTGTGCGTGAGGTTCTGTCATGTATCAGAGGCACCTTTCGCTTTTTTTTTTTTTTTTTTTTTTTTTTGCCAGCAGAGTTGATTGACACTTGCAATGACGACATCTGACGATCCTTGGCTCTGGAAACCTAACCCCACTGATAGCACCCAGGCAAGCCACAACTGTCGCTCTCAGCCAGGGGGATCAGTGTTAGTTGTGGTCAGCAGTGTTTTTTCTACTTCGCTCCTTTTTCCGGCTGCATTTGTGACTCACCCTGCTCAAGCGTGATACCAGAGACTTGCTGAGAGAGAGTGAAGCCATACGAAACCGCCCCAGACTCGTGTGCACACACCAGGTCAATAAAACTTAAGCAGAGTGACAGTGACAGCTGCTGTGTGGAGCACAGAGGGAAGGGAACAGTTCTGTTTGGAACCCTCAGAGATGAGGTATCATTACAGCCTGCCTACTCAGAGAGAAACCTCCTCCACACACCCCCAGGAACAGGCACAGCTCGCCTGCAGCCCGTCAGGGTCCACCTTGGTCGTCTGCAAGGCCGGGCAAGACGAGCTTCCTCCATGCTAGATTCCCTTGGCTATATTCTGCCTCCACACTGTCCCTACCCAACACAGGCTGACACTTGGGAACTCAGGCTGGAAAAGCTCAAACCCAATGGGGGCCAAACAGTCAAGGACCAGCTCCAGAGACAAGGACCCCAAGAGGCTGCTGCCAGGGAAGAGACAGAAGTTCTCTTCGTGGGATGACGCCCTGCTCTTGGGGAAGGACCCTCGGTCCCTGCTGAAGCGTGGCATGCGGCACGTCAGCTTCAGCTTGGTCACCAAAGGGATGACGGACTTTCCAGACTTTCTGTGGGGCTTGTTGGAAGTCCAGAAACTCAATCTGTCCCACAACCAGCTCCAAGTCCTCCCTCCTGAGGTGGGCAGGCTGACCCGGATTGTGGTCCTGAACTTGTGTGGGAATCGCCTCAAGAGTCTGCCCAGAGAAGTCAGTCTCCTCCAGAACCTCAAGGTCCTGTTCCTCAATATGAACTGCCTGGCAGAGGTGCCCGCCGAACTCAGCCTGTGCAGGAGCCTGGAGGTGCTGAGCATGTCACACAACTCCCTGTCCCAGCTCCCAGCCAGCTTTGCAGACCTCTCCAGACTGCGGAAGCTGAACCTCAGCAACAACTATTTTGCTCACATACCGGTCTGTGTCTTCTCCCTGAAGGAGCTGGATTTCTTGCACGTGGGCTCCAATCGCCTGGAAAACATCGCAGAGAGTATCCAGTGCCTGGCTAGCTTGCAGATTTTCATTGCAGAGAGCAACAACATCCACTCCTTCCCCAGGTCGCTCTGTCTAGTCACCAGCCTGGAGCTGCTGAACCTGAGCAACAACGACATCCAGACCCTTCCGGATGAGCTCTACTTGCTCTGCAGACTGGGGAGGATCGCATGGAACCCCATGGACAAAGGGTTGCACATTTCCCATAACCCTTTATCCAAGCCCCTGCCGGAGCTGGTGGAGGGTGGCTTGGAGATGCTCTACAGCTACTTGAAGGACAAAAAGCACAATTGACGTGGGCGTCAGACACATGGACATCAGACCTATGGACTCTAGTCAGCTCTTGCAGACTCTGTCAGCTGGGGCACTTCTCCTGTCTAAGTGTTTTACTGTTAGTGTCTCTCAGTGCTGGGCTCCTATTTGCTAAGTTGCTGAGGATCATCTGAGCAGGTGGGGTATTTGTTTTTAGCTTTGTCCGTCCTTAGTATTGAGTGTGCTCATGTCTCTCAGTGCATGATTGGGCGTAGGCTTTGGGCTTTCACCGAAAGGAACACATTACTCTAACGGCGAGGTTTAGCTCTGGGTAAAGCCAGTGATGGGTCAAGCGTGACATAATTCCAAGATGAAACATATGCTACTATGTGCATGTGCCAAGTATCGTGTGAAGGGTGGGAATCATCCAGTTATGGGTGGTTTCCGCTCCAACCAGTAACCTGCTGCAAGGTGGCAACGGCAAGACAAGTTCCTATGCCAGCCTGGAGCGCGCTCCCCTCAGGACGACGACGAAAGACTGCAACCGAGCGGGCTCTGTGCTGTCTGGGACCAAACAGGCAAAGCTGTCCCTTGTGGTCTGGGGGGAAAAATCATAGGGACTTTCCCTTTAAGATGACTACAGGATCTGTGTCGGGCTAATCATGGTGTGTGTGCTGGTAACAACAGGGATGGCACAATAGCTTTCAGATAATAAACATGATGGCTTCGATGTGTGACGTCAGTTAGTCAGCGTTCTCCCCCAGTCCTCTCCCACCGACAGCTACCTACACCGCACTTCTTTGCTGTGGCTCCAGCCCATGGCCCAGGAACCCTCTTCTATGTTCACTTTCTCTCTTGGAGGGGAACTGTTCTCGGGGGAACAGTCAAAGTGTGGGGGTGGGGAGGGATGGAAAGGTCATGCGCCATACCCAAAGTAATTACCTACTACAAATTTGGAAAAGATGAATGTTTGCCATTCGAGTTTCGCACAAGGGCATGTTAAGGCTCCCTAAGCAAACACCTCCATAACGGTCCTACGCTGGTCCTTATTTTGATTTTAGGAGGGCACAGCTGTTAACTAAATGGATGATGCAAGGCAAGCAGTTACAATGAGCTAGGGTTACAGGGTCTCACTGTGGTCCGATGTCAATATTTATTTAGGGCTAAAGAGTTAAAAGTAGATGTTCACAGCAGCATTATTTGTAATAGCCAGAAACATGCAAATAACCTAGATGCCCCTCAACTGAACAATGGATAAAGAAAATGTGGCACATTTACACAATGGAATACTAGTCAGTGGGGGAAAAAAACCAATGGAATCTTGAAACTTGCAGGCAAATGGATGGAACTTGAAGAAACCATCCTGAGTGAGGTAACCCAGTCACAAAAAGATGAACATGGTATGTACTTGCTCATATATGGATTTTAGACATAGAGCAAAGGATCAGCAGCCTATAATTCATACAGCCAGAGAAGCTAGGAAACAAGGGAGACCCTAAGAGAGACATACATGGTCCCCCACAGAAGGGGAAAGGAACAAGATCTCCTGAGTGAGTGGAGATGGAGTTAGGAGAAAGAGAAGGGGAGGAGAGGAGGGAAGAGGAGAACATGAGGGACCAGGAAGATTGAGTTGGGGAAGAAATAGAGGAGAGAAAAAGAGATACCACAGTACAGGGAGCCAGTATAGGTTTTAAGAAAAAAAAAATGGCGCTAGGGAAATGTCCAGAGACCTATAAGGATGACCCCAACTAACAATTTAAGCAATAGTGGAGAGGCTGCCTTAAATGCCATTCCCCGATAATGAGATTGATAACTAACTTGTATGCCTTCCTAGAGCCCTCATCTAGTAGCTGATGGAAGCAGAAGCAGACACCCACAGCTAAACACTGAACCCAACTCCTGGAATCCAGATACAGAGAAGGAGGAGTGATGAGCAAAGGGGTCAAGACCAGGCTGCAAAAACCCACAGAGACAGCTGACCTGAATAAGGGGGAGCTCATGGACCCCAGACTGATAGCTGGGAATCCAGCATGGGACTGACTCAGACCCCCTGAAATATGGGTCTCAGTTAGAAGGCCTGGGCAGTCTAAGGGACCTCAGACAGTGGAACCAGGATGTATCCCTGGTGCATGAAAGGACCTTGGGAGCACATTCCCCATGGAGGGACACTCCCTTAGCCTAGAGGCAGGAGGGAGGGCCTAGTCCCTACCCCAAATGACATGACAGATTTTAATGGTCCCTCCTGGAAGGCATCACCCTCCCTGGGGAGTGAAAGGGGTGTGGGATGGGGAGATTGGGGGCGCACGGGAGGATAGAAGGGAGAGGGGACTGGGATTGATATGTAAAATAAGAAAAGAGTTGAAATAGGTAGGCCAGAGAGATGGCTCAGCGTTTGCTACTCTTGTAGAGGACCAGGGACCCATTCTCAGCACCCATATGCCAACTCAAAACTGTTTGTAACTCCAGTTCCAGTGGCTCTGATATCTTCCTCTGGTACCAGGCATGCATACGGTACACATACATACATGCAGGCAAGACACTCATACACAAACAAAAATAAATCAATCTGTAAAATAAATAATTAGGGTAAAAAACAGGTGGCGTTGGAGAAGGTACCCACAGGCCTACCACAAGCAGATTGCTCGGATGTTTGGCATACCCTTTATAGAACAAACAAACAAACAATACTGAATTCAGAGCCTTAATATGAACTTTTAATCAATTTCACACCAATGCTCTTAGTTCAGCTGAATTATGCTTTTATGAAATAGCCCCTTCTCCAACCAGGACATGGGGCTGGGGCTCTGAGAGAGATGATGTCCTGTGCTTTCTAAGTAGACCAATCAGGGTTGGGTGAAACACACCGGTCCTCAGGGTCCTTCACCAAGTGTGTTAAGCTGAGTTCACCATCAAGCAAGAACACCAGGACCCTGACGTAGCTTCCCCTGGGCCCCAGAGCCTTGGTAGCAAGCGTGAAGCCAGCAAAGAGCCAAGGCAGGGGAGATCAACCATGTTGCCCTGCAGCCGTCTAACTCCAGAGCTGTCTCCCCTCTCCTGGGGCGGGAAGATGGGGTGGGAAGAGCAGGAAGTGCTGGGGCAGGAACTGGCTGCTGAGGCATTGCTGTTTGCAGCTGCCTGCCCATTTCCCCAAGGGGCGGCCAGAGGAGGCACCCACAACTTACTTAAAGGAGCAAGTGATTCCCCAACAAACTCCTGTGCCAACTTTCCCACCCACAAGAAGGAAGCCAATTCCCCATGATGATTGATAATCAGATGACACTCATCAACATATTTGTGTGCTAGCTTCTCTCCTGGACCGCTGCAAAGAGAGAAATTACCTGTGTCCCTTGGAAGCAGCCAGAGAAGCCTGTCCTTCCAGTCCCCAGTAACAGGAGACCTACAGCTCCCTGCCAGCCCTTATGGATGCACTCCAAAATCTCCACCGGCCTTGGTTTATTGGAGCCAAGACTATTTAAAAACATCAGTGGAATTCTCACTCGATCTCCTGACTCAGTGGGAAATTACAGGGTGAGCCCTGCTCTACAGAACCGGGCAGGTCATCTGCCGAAGCTTTGAGATGAAGTGTCTGCAGCTGGCAGGCAGGCCCCGGCGTGTGCCAGGATCATGCCCGTGAGTAGTCTCTTCTAAGGACAGCTTTGCTTCACACTGAGCTCCTGTGACCTTGCTCGGTTCACACTGAGCTTTCGTGACCTTGATCTGAGCTCAGACACTGGCGAGGCCAGCAGCCAGTCCTCACCCTGCTGAACGATCGCTTTATTGCCTCTGCAGCCTTGTGGGTCATTTGATCCCTGGACACTCCACTCCTGGGAAAGGATGTGCCATATTTTGAAGGTGACCCATGAGCTCATTGTACTTCTTACAAGAAAAGAAAAAAAAAATAATAATTTGGTTGCCGGCTTGTGCTGGTGCCTTTCAGTGAGATTTTTCTCTGTCCACACTCATCGGGGAATCACCAGGGTAAAGCAGTTGCCTGTTGTGCTTTAGATAGCGATTCTTTGTAAATACTTTCTTTTTATTGATAAAGGGAAATGTTGAGCCAAATACCAGCTAATGGGCTTAGTTACTGCAAACACTACCATGGAGGGCCGGTAACCTTCTCTGTCTGTTGTCTAACTCTGCATTTACTGACTGCCTCTGGAATGCCTCTTGCCTGTCTGAAGCTTCCCACATTGCCACAGTCAAGTAAACTCCAGGTGCTCCTGGAGCTCCTGGAATCAAAGCAAGGAGGATGAATGTATTGGCGGCGAGCTCTGCTGTCAGAGAATAGGAACTAATTGGCGCTTGATGCGGGGAGCCGGCGGCTCCGTTCCCTACAATGTTGTCTTCATGTCTCTGGGCTCTCAGTGCACAGGGACACCATCGTGTGCTCTGAAATACCTTTTGAAGCAGATGCAACTTATGAACACACAATTAGGCGGAAACCCTATGCTCCAAAGGATGCAGGAAGATTGAAAAGACACATCTGTTTGCGGAATAATAGCGCTAAATGCGTAATCGGTTGCCTATTAGACAGACAAACCATAGTCATCACTCAGCTTCTTGACTCAATTCATGGATGATGGCAGCCATATATTCCTTCCTTGGGCTTTGGTTAATAAACTGATTCCGAAGTAACCGAACACAGAGAGACTTCAGGAAGGACCACACACCTGGATTTCAGAGTGAACTTGTGTCTGCATTGGAAAACAGCAAATGTGTTACAGATGTCATTGTCCGTAGGGACGGCTGCATTAAAAAGAAACCATATTTTTCTTTCCCAGCGAGCAACGGATGACTGCATCTTGGAAATCCATCTCCGTGAGGCCTTGAAGCGCTAAGTGAATGTTTGTTTTAATAGGCCAAGCACAGGAACCAAGACAAAGAAAGAAAGGACTATGGGCAGGTCAACGGAGACAGAGTCTGATGGCAACAGCCTGAGACCACAGGACGGTGAAGCCTGCAGACTGGGTACTGACTGCCACCAGACCCTCAGGCCCAGGAGGGCCCTCCCTCGGCTGGCTGGAATCGCTGAGGTTCTGGTTA